TGTTGTTTAAAAAATCATAACTCCATAACGGGGCATCGTATTCAAAAAATGTTTCCAGGAAAATGTTCTTAAAAGACCAGTCTACACCACTATATGATTGAAAAAAAATTGAAAAATTTTTTTGACCTTTGAAATCAAGATTGAAAAAGAAAAGCCTATCTTAGTAGTGTATTAAAATAGGCCAATGCATTACAGTGCAGTAGCATATGACTTTCGTGTTGTTACTGTTCCAAGTAGCGAAAATATACATATTTTTCTTATTACAAAGTACAAGTTATGTTTTATAAAGAGGTATAGTATAGTAAATCATGTTTTTAACACAGGAAACTCTCATATGGTAACTAAAACAATTCTAGTTCAGAGTATTACTTACTACTACAGCACTGTAATGCATGTACCTATTTTAATACACTACTGAGATAGGCTTTTATTTTTCAATCTTGATTTCAGAGGTCAAAAAAATTTTTCAATTTTTTTAAATCATATAGTGGTGTAGACTAGCCTTTTAAGAACATTTTGCTGGAAAATTTTTTTAGATACGACGCCCCGTTATAGAGTTATGATTTTTTAAATAACATGATGTCAAAAAATCCGCCCAAAAGCTTATCTTATTTCTGTTGGTTACGCACCGCTGATTCGCAATGTTTGTCATCACTTAGACATCACAATATGTCTACCGATTCGTGAAAAAGGCCTATTTTGGTGCCTACGAGCTAAGAGCCTTTAGGCCTAGTCTAGGGTTTTCATAATAGGGACTGCCGTGTCAGGCCTATCCTATTTCAGGTATTAAAAAAAAAAAAAATTTGACCGATCTTGATTTTTTCCATTTAAAGGCAACACAACAATTTTTTTTTTTTTTTTTTTTTTCAATCCCTCGCTGTGCATTTTCCTTTTGTCATTGACCAAGGCACTTCATCTACATTGCTTCTCTTCACCCAGGAGTTTAAATGGGTTCCTTGTGGGGTTGCCTGCTCCTGCGCTGATTACAGCAGCAACGCTTAAGCATGTAGACCCAATGACTGGCGTCAAAAACGCTTCGTATCTGCAAAGAAAGGTGCTATATAAATTACCATATAATAATTTATATACTGTTGAAGTTGCCTAAGTCAAATCCAAAATGCCATTGACATACTGTATTGTTTGACTTAGATGAAATTCGACTTTTTACAGATTGTTAATTAATGAAAAACTCAACAAATTGGCATGTAAAATTAGATCGACTTAGAAATTATTCGACTTAGAAATTATTCGACTTAGGAAAGTTTAACTGTAATTTACAAGAAGCGGTTTAGTCTTATTATAGTTTTAAAAAAATATTATATATTCTCCTTTGTTTATACAGCAAGAAGGATTTTCCAAGTACAACAAGATCTATGAATTTGAGTGCAACATCTTGAATCAGCAGAGTTCCATGAAGATGACCTCTGTCTCGGGTCATCTTCTCAATTATGCCTTTAAATCTATGTATAAAAATTGGTAAGTAGGAGGCATAAATCACATTAATGCCATACTGTAAAGTTTTTGAATTGTGCAGAAAATTGCTAGGAAAATAGGTGTGCGGAATCGTAATTACTGCATAATACATTGTTAATAATTCAAATTAGAGGTCAAAGCCTAATATTCAGCAAAATCTGCACAGAGGATGGATATATGCTCGGAGGATATATTCCCTGGCACAGTCGGGCATTAATGCGATGAAAATCCATCCCAAATGCAAATCCTTATCTTAAGATCTATTATGAACACAATGATAAAATTTTATATGACAGAATTGTGTGAAATGCCTATAGTGTTATTGGCCATGATTATGCCATATCATATCCATATATGGACATATCAGAGGTATTTGTTACATAAATTTTATTAAAGCTTTTGGTCAAGTAAAAAATGTTGCATATCTTGCCCTGGTTTGTTGTATCATATTCATATACACTATAAAAAATCTTTTGATTGTGTATAATATGTTATGTTGCCAATAAATATAATAAATGTATTAGCCAATTTCCAGTAGGAAATATTTTGCACCAACTAAAGGAAGTTGGTAGTCAGACTTCAAACATGTGAATGCAAATGCATCATATCAAAAATATAAAGCATGAAATTATTCCTATCTAGACTTTGAAAATGATAACAAGAAGCAACCTCATGATGGGAAACTAGCCATCACCACATCTTTTGTCTGCAAGGCACATTGGCCAGCTGGCTTGTAATTCACAGATGCTCGAGTGATGCCAGAATCTAGACTTTAATATCCTACCATTTTTTTAATTAATTTTTTTGGATCAAGGTTGATTTGGTTCAAGATGGGTTTGGTCGAAAGTGGGTCATGTATTTTTTTAAATTTTTTATGGGGAGCTGCTTTTTGGGTTGAATAATATAACTTTCAATAATACTATTTCATGAAAGGTTTTCACTCATAATTGCAGGAGGTCATGTAACCCTGTTGTGCTATTTGATGCTGATGTTGTCAAAGTATGTCCAGATAATTTTAAGGATATTAAGGTGAGAAAATTATAATAAAGTGTATATACTGTATAAACCAAACTATAAAGCAACCTATTAAACATTGCAACATATATTACATACATACACAGTGCAGGGATAGATTCGGTGGGGGAGGGGAGCGAGCTGTCCCTTTTTGGAAAATCCAAAAAAAAAAAAAAAAAAGAATAAAAAGAAAAATAAATTATTGATTGCCCATAATGCCTCAGAGGCCTTTTTCGAACCCCTAGGGTAGTGTTGTCTCTGAATCAGCCTCCCTTCCTATTATAAAATTAAATATGTTCCCATTAAAGAACCCAGTATGTCTGTCGAGGCATGTAAGGGGTAACCCCAGTCTCTTGTGGACAGATTAGAGTAGCTAGCATCGTATTATGGATATATAAATGATTATAAAAACGGCAAAACATATATATAAAAGTGTCGGTAGATTTAAATTGTTATACATTAAATTTTATTATATTTTCAGAGGACATTAGAAAGGGAAGCTAGACAAAGTGATATTCTTATTATCTGGACTGATGGTGATAGAGAAGGAGAAAACATTGGCTATGAAATTATAGATACATGTAAAGCAGGTAAATAATAATGTAGGCAATATAGATGGAGGTCTTGTCTGTATGTCAGTCTTGATAGATTTTATTCAGCAAATTGCTTATCTATAGAGGGCAGTATTCGTGTTTATCTCAGTCTCAGGTATACTGGACAATGTAATGTGTATGTATACATTATGAGATGTTTTCCAATCATTGCAAATGATCTTGGTATGGTTTAGCTATCATGTGCGGTCAGAGTTTTTCTTTCTTTTTTTTTTTTCGGGGGGTGGGGGTGGGGGCATCTTCCACATAGAGGGTCAGGGGTGGGAGAATTTCCCTTTTCACCACATGTAGATCCACCAATGGTTGTCTTCTATAGTTACTATGTGGCACCTGCTGAACTATATTGTACCTTGCCGGATCCTTTTATGTCTATTTTTGTTCTCTTTCCAGTGAAAAGAAGTTTGAAAGTATACAGGGCAAGATTTTCTGAAATAACTCCACAGTTAGTCGGCCTTTTTGTTTTCTTTCATATATTATGTTTTATCTTTAAACCAACAGTAATAGTCTTTGCAAAACACTACTAATAAATTTCATCATTAACACCAGCCCTGAAGTGTCTTCATTGGCTTCCCATTAAACAATGTTGTATTTTCAAATTGCTTTTTTTGGTATATAAGTTACTTGCGTTCACAAACCATTATATTTGTTGCATCACTTAAAATGTCATGTAGCTATCCGCCATCTCTGTTCATTTTCAAAAAATCTTTTGACAGTTCCATCTCCTCGAAGCAAAACTAAAACATATGGTCAACGTGCTTTTTCTGTTCTAGCTCCTTCTCTGTGGAATTCTCTTCCTTTTTCTGTTCGTAATTCGCCTAATTTATATTCCTTTAAGAAGAACTTAAAGTTTCACCTTTTGAGAAATGTTACTGAGTTTGTTTTCTCCTGCGCCTTTGATAAATTTTTGAATTGGCGATATATAAATGTTTATTATTATTATTATTATTATTATTATTATTATCATGATCATATGACTCGTTAACAATATGTTGTAATATTTTGGGTTGTAAAATTGATTGTCTCAAAGTTATAATTTTTAATTCTGACAATCCATAATGTTCATGTAATCCTGGCATTTCTTGACCATCATTTCATCCTTATGTAAACAAAATGTGACTGCTCAGATCTGGTGAGTTTTGTTTGTATTCCAACTTCAAATAAATGTTGACTCATAAAAATACATTGTAGTGGATTTAGTCTTAAGTACTGTACAGAATATTAAATTTTATTTGAAAAAAACAAACAAAACAAAACATGTGACATGCCTAAATATGGTAATGATGACATCACATCTTCAAATAAGCATCAAATAAATTTAATAAAATTTACTATTAACATTTTCTCTGGCAACAAATACATAATATGAGTATATAGAAGTCTATATCTCTCAAAAATCACTTTATTCAGAAAAGAAATAAAGAAATACATATACCAAAAACCTAGCTCAATGTTCACTTAAAACATTTGCGAAGTAAAAGTTAAAAAAAAAGATGCATTACAAAACATTTAGAAAAACTTAATAATATTAAAAGGTAAATACAAGTTTAGCACAAAATTTAAAAATATGACAACAACAAAAAACATTTTTAAGCAGCTTAATATAAAAATTACAAGGATAATGTTCGTTAATTAAATAATAATAATAATTTGCGATTTGTATAGCGCCTCCCGTTAGACCAACCTCGAGGCGCTTCACAACAACGGAAGGAAACGGACAAGAGAATAAAAAAACCATGAACCTAGACTAACAAAGAAAAAAGAAAACGCCTAAACGAGCTAAACTAACACCGCACCGTTTATCTAAATAGGTTTATTACATCATAATGATAATTAAATAGGCTTATTACATCATAATGATTGTATTAGTTAAAATTTTTCAACACTTTCTTAAATTCATAATTTGTTTTAAATATTTGCACCTCAAATAATTTATGTATCTGATAAAACAATTAAATTACAATAAAAATTACAAGATTAATAAAATTAAACAATTCAGAATTTACAAAGAGACAAGCATTAAAAGAAATTAACATTTCAATTTAAATTATTCTACAGTTTTTTTAAAGTTATAAATCAGTTTATTTGAAGTATATTGCACCTCAATATAATTATATACCTGATAAAAAAAATAGTATTCTACCACAAGGGAGGATCGTAACATTTTTAACGGCGTCAATATCAGTTAATATGTTGTCACAATCGTTAACAATAGATTTTTTACGAGTCCATGAATGTATAAAAATTAACAAAGTAATGTATAATTATCAACAATTTCATTTTGGTGTAGGTCAATTGCAAGAACTTGCCAGAACCTCTCAGAGCCTGATTACTTGGTCTCTGCTGCTGTTGATGTGCGACAACAATTGGATCTTCGAATAGGTGAGCATACACTTCCTACTAATTATCGTAAGATCAATAAGAAATTAAGAGATATTAAATTATGCTTTAACATTTTTCTGGGGATTAAAGCTTATATAGGTGCAATGCAATTAAGAGGTATTTAATTGTGATGTCATATTTTTTCTTGGGGGATTATAGCTTTATCAATGTTAATTATTTTTCAATAAATTATATTATATTAAGTTGTATAGTCTTTTTAAATATGAGTTTACTATAAGTTGATATCCCTTTTCTTCTTTTGTTGGAATCACCACATTTAATATCACATACTGGATTACATAATATTATGTTCAGTATACATGAGTATTGTTTTCTGTTGATGCCTATTATGGTTCTTTTTAAAGCAATTCAAAATTTTATTATTTGTTTTTTTTTTATGGCAGTGTATCTTGAATTTGATTTGTAATTGATTTGATGTATAATTTCCGATTATAGGAGCAGCATTTACAAGATTCCAGACATTGCGTTTGAGGCAAGTTTTCCCGGAAATTCTGGACGGTCAGTTGATTAGCTTTGGCAGTTGTCAGTTTCCGACCTTGGGATTTGTCGTTGAACGTTATAAGCAAGTTGAAGCTTTCCAACCAGAAGCGTTTTATAAGATTAGAGGTAATTTAACTGAAGCCGGGCAGACATTGCGCCTAACGGCCGTTGGCCGGTGCGATTTTATGTAAAACGCAACACACTATAATGCACACGCAACAAATCATTTTTAATGACACTTCATTCAAACTGCTACCAGCAAGCAGCAGACAGTGTTGCATCGTCTAACACTCGCAGGGAGCAGAGTGGAATGCAATGAGTGCCTGGCTTAAAAGTCTTAATGTGGAAGTTGAATTAATATATACTTTATTATCAAAGTGTCATAGTGCTTGATTCAATGACTAGCTTGTACAGTAACTCTCTTCTCTTTTAATGGTCACTTTTTGTCTGAGCTACCTGGTAAACCGTGCCAGCTACTCTAGTCACCACCACGGTGGTTTTTTGACCAGTACATCAGGTTTGGTCTCTGAATAAATATCAAATACAGTTGTTCTTTTTGGACCACAGAAAAGTGGTCCTTAATTGAAGGTGGTCTTTATTTGGATGGGTCTTTAGTTAGAGGGAGGCCTGTAGTTGGGTTCTTTACAGAATAGTTGTTTATTTGTGTTATTGCATATTAATTGTTGATATGGTATTTTGATCTTGTCTAATTAGTTATGCATCAGCGAGGTGATGACACTGTTGAATTTAACTGGAGGAGACACAGGCTTTTTGATCGTTTGGCCTGCCAAGTTATATTGGAGGTTTGCATTGAGGTCAGTTTAAATTTTAAGTATTATCAATGCCATTTCATTGTTAGCATCATTATCCCAGGATGCATCTAGTTTGTTTGTTTAATTAATTTATTTATTTTTTAAATTTATATATTTATTTATTCATTTATTTATTTTTATTTATTTTTTTTTTACTTAGTTTTATACCTTTAAGCACATGGCCAAGGATTACCAATAACGACTTAATCGCTGTCCTATTAGATAAGTGGCAACCCTTCACATGACAAACGTAAATACATGATGCTCTATATAAGCTAAGTCACTATAATGCTTATAGACTGGAGTTGTTTTTGTCGCGAGAAAAAATCTGGGAATCTGACAGGATTTGTATCCAGGACCCTGGGATTGGAGAGCGAGCATATTATCCATTAAGCTATTTAACTCCACTGTCAATATTATAAAAATATTATGATTCTTTATACCAATGCTATGCTGTAGTCAGACCTTGATCATAATAAAAAAAAAAATATAATATATATATAATATATATTTCTAATATAAATCCTGCAGATCTTCTGTTAACCTTTTCATAACTTGAGGCTGTTTGTAAAAAAAAAGAGAAATTTGTCGCATACAATCTCCTGCTTACACGTTATTCTTCTAGATATAATAGGGTTTCTGCAGTATAATCCAATAAGTAGGCCTACTCACTGTGAATAAGTTTTGTCTCACTCCCAGCTTGACTTTGAACAATTCAGCTGTGGCTGCCAACATTCTATTTCTTATGACATAGATTGTTAAATTAAGTAATTTTTAATATTTATTTTATTTTGATATATATTCGTTATGCGTTATCCTCAGAGTCCTTTAGCCAAAGTTGTGGATGTGAGGAGCCGTGATAAAAGCAAGTGGAGACCCCAACCAATGGACACTGTGGTAAGATAATTTTAATAGGTTTTTAAAGAATTATCTTCAGATGGATAGCCCAGCTTGTGATTGTTGCCACCCAAGTCAGACAGTCTAGTACATCAAGAATTACTGCATCTTGAGGAAGTTTCCTAGAGGATTGGAAGATATCCCCCTAGCCAGAGATGCTGCTACAAAACTGGTTGGCTAGGTTAGACATGTCTTTGTAGTGCCGAGTGTGAAAAACTTCAAAAGCATTGCGAATGCGCATGTGCCTAATCCGACGCTTCCAATTTGCGCGAATAAATTTGCTTAGTATAAAACCTTCGTTTTAGTGACAAATGCTTTTCTTCCAGGAACTAGAAAAACTTTCTTCAAGAAAACTGAAGATTAGTGCCAAAGAGACAATGAAAATTGCAGAGAAACTTTACACAAAAGGGTGAGTTTTTAGAATGCCATAGTCACTGTTAGTAGTGATAATAAGATTAATAATACACTATAGAAATAGTGATAATAAGATTAATAATACACTATAGAAATAGAGACACAGACTAATACTTGCAATGCAACATCATCCTACCAAGTTCTCATTTATACTCGTGGGTGGAGAGGGCAAACGCAAGTAAAGTGCCTTGCCCAATGACACAAGCAGTGCGCCGAGCGTAAGTCTTTGACTCCCAATCTCCCCCTCCCCCACCCCCCTTGGACATGTTGGGCCTATTTGTCAGCAAATTTCTAGAGCCACCGCTGTGATTTCACTAGCGTTTACCTTCAACTTTATATAAAAAACATTAGATTTAACTTTTACTTAGAAATATCTAAATATCATTGATTCTAGGTTCATCAGCTACCCACGTACAGAAACCAACATATTTCCAAAGGAACTGGATCTTTACCCACTGGTTCAGGAACAGACACAGGATAGACAATGGGGTGGTAAGTGATTAGTTGAATAGAGCTTCAATTGTTCGTGGCGGATTCAAGGGAGCCCAGCCCAGTCCTCCCAGGGCCCCCTGAATTTTTCAAAATTATAAGAAAAACTGTAAATAAAAGTCGGAGAATGCCATTTTTAGGTGCCATAATCATACAATTTCTTAGTTCAGCCCCAACCATGGTGGGCCTGAGGTGGTACAGACTGCTCATCACTGAAAGGTCTTCCCCCCGCCCCCCCCCCCCCCCAATTTTGAAATCCTGAAGCTGCCACTTATTATTATGCTTTTCTTAAAATTAAAATGATAAGTAGTTGCATGTACTTATTGAGTGCTTTATTTGGGTGTCCCAAAATCTGCTTCAAAAAAGTTTGTTCCAACTTGAAAAATTGTTTTATTCAGAAATTGTGACCTGTCCTATTGTCTTGAAATCTGGGATCAACTCCTAATGGTATATTAAAATTGTTGTTTTTTTATTATGAGGATTTATATTATATACATAATTGAATTATTTTATAATTATTTTAATATTGGTAAATATATTTTTGTTTACTAATTTTTTGTTTCTTTATGTCTACATATTTGTTTATGATTTTGTTTTAATCATTGCAATGACTATCTAGACCCAGATGCAACACATTCCTTACATAAATGTACCGCACAAAATCAACCACTTTCAACCACAACCAATTTCATTTATCTTCGTTATTATATAGATATCAAATTCTTTAAAAATAAAAAAAACAGTAAGAAATGGAGTTCTTACTCAGGACATTTCGATCTCTAACAGAGATTTTTATGGAATTGTAGCTTGGTCTTCACCACAAAAATATTCACATTTTACTTACAAACAGGTTTCGCTGCTGAACTCCTACAAAGAGGTATAACACCAAGGAGGGGTAAGAATACCGATAATGCCCATCCCCCAATCCACCCAACCAAATATACGGGGACGTTGCAAGGGAACGACCAGCGAATCTACGAGCTCATTTGCAGGCACTTCCTAGCATGTTGTTCACAGGTACTTTTAATATTTATGTTTGTACCTCATTCCAATTTTGTAAAACTGCAGAATTTTGCTATTTAACTTTTTTCTTAACAAAATAAAAACAATGTGAGTGAATCGATCTTTATGTTTTGGCCAGATGCCCTACAAAGTTTTCGAAAGTTGTCTGATGTACGATATTGCCATTCTAGATCTTTTCCACTCACCCTTTTTTTTTTATCATTTTAAACAAAGAAGGGCAAACAAACAATTAATTTGTTTAGGCCCTATATTGTTAATTCATTTATTATGAATCACAAAGAGAAGCAAGGAACCGGCCACTGTAGATAGAAAATATCATCATCATCATTGGCATCATTAACATCATCATCATTCTCATTATTCTCCTCGTCATCATCATACCCCTTGTCCACCTCATTAACATCATCATCATCAATCAGGTCAAACATTTTTGGTTGAATTGGCTTATATGTGTTGATGGAAATTTTTAATGCTATCATTATTTTTTTAGTTTTCGTAATTTATTTAGACACACTCCAATGTTCAGGACCATACAATTAAAACTTGCTTGCAGTGTGGTACCATTTTTACAATAATTTATTTCAAATTTATTGTATATATATTGAGGTATTGTAAAATAATATTTATTTGATACTTGATTACTGAATAATTCAAACAAATTTATTAATTTACAAAGGATGCCCAAGGCAAAGAAACAACTGTAGAAATTGAGATTGCGCAGGAGAGCTTCTCAGCCCAGGGGTTGATGATCATAGCACGCAATTACCTGGATGTATACCCATATGATAAGTGGAGTTCAAAGGTCATCCCAGTCTACAACATTGGCGATACTTTCCAACCAACTGTATTAGAGGTATGTTAATCATTTTAGTCTATATTTAGATGTAGATAATATATAATGCGGTGTCTGTCCTATATAAAATATGTGTATAGAATACAATATGTATAATTATATATCCTAGGTGACATACAATGAGCAAAAACTGATGGAAAGAAAATGCATGGATGGAAATAGATTTCAATGATGAGTGTTGAAATGGAGTAAATAACCAATGTCACATGATATGAAATCCACCAATCAAATGACAGGGATCTATTTAGGTGTGTTATAAAATTATATGAATAATTCAATATATATTTTGTTTTTTTGTAGATAAATGATGGAGAGACTTGTCCACCACCATTACTCACAGAAGCTGATCTTATCACTCTTATGGATAAGCATGGAATTGGTAATTTTTTTATACATAATTTTGAGTTGTGTAATGTAAATACACCAAAGGTTATTAAGATGTATTTAGAAGCAGTATGTTAAGTTTTTAGAGGAGGAGAAAAGAGGTTGATTCCTATAAATTAAAACATTGGAGATGTACCTTGGTGGTTAAGGAGCTTGTTTCTAAATCCAAACTTATGTGTTCGAATCCTGTGACACCAGGATTTTTTCTTATGACTAAACAATATCTTCATTGCCTAACCTCATTAGACATTTAATTAAGAGAGCCCTAAATATCAGCTTAACATCTGTAATAGGCTGGGTGGGCAATACTCTACGGTTTTTAAAAAAGTAACCTGCATGACAAGTTAAAATTGTTTCGCTGGATATTCAACAATAAACTCTATTAACTTTAACTACTATCCAGGCAACAGAGTTAAGTTTTCTCTCTCCTAGGCACTGATGCAACGCATGCTGAGCATATTGAGACCATCAAGTCCAGGATGTATGTAGGTGCAAGGCCTGATGGTAAGCTGGTGCCAGGAGAGCTTGGAATGGGCCTAGTGGAAGGGTATGATAACATGGGATATGAGCTATCCAAGCCAGACCTGAGAGCAGAATTAGAAGCAGACTTGAAAAGGTACGATGCAACATTTATACTCTTGTGTACTCTAAGCAGAATATAAATAAATTCTTCTATAGCGCATTCCTCAGTGTGCTCTGCAACAAGAAACACAAGCAGTAAATAATTTTGACTTAAACTACGGTACTTAAGCTATGAAATATTTCTGAAATGCATGTGCTCTATCGTTATAAGTATCTAGAACAGGGCTCCACCCACCAATGTTGAAACAACATCGCATCGCACCCGGGTGCATGCAGGCATGATAGCACCCTCATGTAAATAGACCTTGATGTAATGGAACTATAGTGAGTTGTATGGCATTGCATAAAGGAGCATGGCGCATTTAGGTGGAAGTGGGAATAGAAAAAATAAAGACAAGACATGGTGAAACCAGGGAGATCCACCTCTTGTTGTACTGAATGTGGGTATGGAGTTTAATAGGCGTGGTACGGGGAGGTGGAATTTTATAAAGATGGTCGTCTTCAATTTGTTGAAGTGAAGATTGTGACGTCATACCTTGTCAATCTCAGTGAACACACGTCATCAAAGTGATGTCACAACAGATTTTATGAATTTTTATTTTTTGCGTGATAATAATACCGTAATTACAATGTCTGCGTAAATTGAATAGGAAAGCTTTAGTATAAAACAGTCTCCCCATACTAGCCTTGAGTCGCATCTAAATCAAATAAAAAATAGTTGGATGACCGAGTGGCTACTGCAGGGGTGCAGCTATAATATCGGAGCTAATTCGAACGGCACGCTCGCCTTATGTTCTGGTAGTGGAACAAGTCTTCTCGGATAAGGACTATAAACCGTAGGCCCAGTGTACACAATTTGGCTCAGTACATCTTTCGAGATGAGTAGGGGGTTACCCCGGTGTACTGGTCCATTCATATCCTGCTGTGGACAGACGAGAGTAGCTGGTACCGGTTTACCGGGTAGCTCAGACATGAAGAGACCCTTCGGGGAGAAGAAAGTCATTGAATTGAAGTCATCAAGAAGAACCCAACTGAAAAAAATCTTTGTGGATTTTTCTGGTTCTTCCTTGGTGTAATTTACACCAAAGAAATTTAATTTCTTTTTTGTCATAACCTTGCGAAATGAGTAACAGATAGTCCACAGTGTTTTTGTATCCTCTGGAAAAGGCACTATATCAAATGCCATTACAATTGCCGATGGAGTTAACTTCTAATGCACTGCCCAATTGACCACCAAAAGAACCCCACTGAAAAAAATCTTTGTGGACTTTTCTGGCTCTTCCTTGGTGTACTTTACACCAAAAAAATCCAATCTCTTTTTTGTCATAGTCTTGTGTTCCAACTAAATGTATGGTTTTAAGGCCTATTCTACATAAGGTAATTTCAGTTAGGAATGATTTGAAATATTTTTACCTTGCTTTCTTTTATTTTCTAGGATTTGTAAAGGAGAGAAAGATGCTGACGTTGTCCTTAGAGAACAGGTGGAGAAATATAAACAGGTGTTTATAGAAGCAGCTTCCAAAGTAAGAAATATATAAATCTCTATCTCTCGTATAATAAACATGAATCGGCTTACAATAAATAGACCGAGTTAGTCACCAAAGCTAGTATTGTATAGCGAGTATACCATCAAAACATACCGCTAAGGTGGCAGTTTTTTTGCACAATAATAAGCCTCGGCTCGAATAAATGTTGACTGTTTTTTAACTTCTCAAACTTGTTTATTTGTACATTTTAACGTAAATGAATTTGTCAAAAAGTCTTGGTAAATGTTCCTGAATAAACTGTCAAAATTTGGACCTGTTAAATTTAAAGTGGAATGAAAGAAACAAATGGAAAGCTTGAACAATTTTGTACACAGTGAGCATCCCTCGTCGCGTGAACAAGGGCCTAGGCTAGAGTCATACAAATAACGTTCTTGTGACTCGCTGGTCAGTCTAGTCAAAAGAAACATCTTATTCTACAATTCAACAATGTAAGTTTGTCAATAGTTTAAATATTTCATACAGAAATTGCAACACAATGACATGGTGGCAGCATTTAAGCTGAACGTGTACCACTAAATGAACAACGATCACCTTCGTCAGCGCTGAATGTGGCGAATCCGGCAAGCGATGTGCATAGACCCCCTAGAAGGCCTCTCAAAACTCCTCATATTTTTAGTCTAAATGGAAATTTAAATCAAATCAACCTTAATCTCATGAATCTACGAATCATTCAAAATGTCTACATTGTTATAAAAAGTATCTTCTACACTAACTTCATGTTTATGTTTGTTTACTCACTAAAAAAAATCGTGATGACATTATCTTTGGTGACTAAATCATTCTGTTGCCTTCATCTCTTGTAAATGTAAATCTCCTACAGTTCCTTTCTAGGATAGGCTGGGAGACACACAAACTCATTCATGGAAATCTGCAGGCTGATTGGATAGCACAGTTATTCTTTTTAAAGTGGTACACTATCTGTTATAGAAAGTAAAATACAGTTCTCCCTCAATTAATGACCACTTGTAGGACCAGAATTTCCATAGCCATCAGCAGCTTTGGTCTCTAATTTGGAAAATTAAGATTATAGCCGTTTGTTCATGTTGGATTAAGAAAAGTGGTCTTTAATTGGAGGGGTTTTTTAATTAGAGGGAGATGTGTACCCACAATAATCTTTATTACAACATTGATTTGATAATTTTAAATGAAAAAGAAACAAATGAAAACAAGTAATTTCACATTTGCTTAGGCAGTAAAGTTGGATGAAGCCCTTGGACATTACTTCCAACAAGCCCCTCAGACCTTCACTGATCAGGGTCCAGATATTCAACCGGAGGCCTTGCTACCAGTTAGAAAGTGCCCACAGTGTGGGGAACACATGATCATCAAGACCAGAAAGGATGGCGGGTACATGCTGAGTTGTACAGGTTACCCAGACTGCAAAGCTGTTGTGTTCTTGCCCGCCTCGGTGTTGTCTGTGGAATTGCAAGATGAAGATTGTACAAGGGTAAACTTAATTTAACAAAGTTTTGTTGTGTTTGCCTATTCGCAATCCTTGAATTTATGATGCTAATCAAAAGAAGTCTATAGACAAAATTGTTGTAACCTGATATATTTCACCAACCAATGGGCCAATGACTTTGTGTAACTGATTTAACTTGGATTTATTAATTTTCAATTTTCTAGTGTCGTCCTGATCCAGTGAAGTTAATTAAGTTTGAATTCAGGCGTGGATCTGTACCGCCTTCAATGTCGATGGAGTATGTGAGTTGCCTAGGCGGATGTGACCAGGATCTTGTGGAAGCTCTTAATCTGAACATGTCATACATAAAACAAGCCTTCATACCTACAGGTAATTGATCACTCATTCGATCAATTACTCTTGACAATCAATCAGTCATTAAGCCTATCACTTAGTCATTCAGTCAGTCCTTCATTTAGTAAGTAAATCTGTCACACATCCAGTCATACATTTAGCTCATCATTTAGGAAGTCTATGATTCACTCAGTCAGTCAATTAGTCTATCAGTCAGTCAATAACTTAGTCAACCTATCAGTCATTCAGTCTGTCCATTTAGTAAGTAAATCATTCAGCCAGTCATTCAGTTAGTTCATCATTTAGTAAGTCAATCATTCACTCACTCTTTCAATCAATCAATCAATCAATCAATCAATCAATTAGTCAAGCAATCAGTCAGTCATTCAATCACTTAGTAAACCTATCAGTCTATCAGCAAGTAATCCAGTCAGCTCATCATTTAAGCAAGTCAATCATTCACTCAGTCAATCAATTAAGTAATCAGTCAGTCAATAACTTTAGTCAACCTATCAGTCAAACAGCAAGTTATTCATTCAGTCCTTATTTAGAAAGTCAATCTGTTACTCAGTCAATCAATCAGGCAATTAGTCAAGCAGTCAGTCAATCAATCACTAAATCAGTCAATCAACCAACCAATCAGTCACTTAGTCAATACATTTTTAAATAAATAAACAATCAGTCAGCCAATCAAATCAGTCAGTCAAATATATTTGTATGGCTTCATTCCCAGCAAAATTTATTTACATAATTTTAAGTTTACCAATTACATTTGCTTTGATCTGTTATGATTGTTGATCATTTAATATTACTGTATCTTTAAATTATATTTATAAGTTAGTACATTACCACATATTAACTTTAATCTTTCAAGCTACTATTTCAATTACAATTTCTAGGTGTTGCAACAGTTGCACGTTTGCCTGCTCGAGGTGGTACAACCACGACTCGTTTACCTGTACGCGGTGCTGCAACTGGCCGTAGAGGGCGTGGTAGTAATAATAATAATTCTACATTTGGGAATGATAGTGGTATCTCATCTTGGAGTTCTAATAACAGTGGTAAGATATATATAAAGCTCTGTCCAGATTGTAAAATTTTCTTTGCCCATATATAGTCATGATGTGCCTATATATGGTCATGATGTGATGACATCATGACCATATTTGGGCATGTCCCTAGAAAATAATAACTAGACTAGTCTCCCGGAAATTTTTGATCTATTTTTTTCATTGGAAACTAATAACTTATTCAATTCTTTTAAATATGATGTCTGTTTTGTAAATACTTAACTAGATAAACAGAATATTTAACAATTTCATTTCATTTATTTATAGGCGCAAACGATCTAGGGGCTGCATCAGCAACAGTTTGCCATAACACCACAAGTGTTGCCCCCAGCCCCATAAGTGGGAATTTACCTCTTAAAGTGATAGCGTCACATATGATTTGTACTTAGGGTTTTTTAAGATTTTTAAATTATAATAATCATTTTAATTACTTATTTTTTAAAAATGATTTTCCTTAATGTTAACATGGAGTTGTTTATTTTCAAAATTTACGGTCAAAGGAGTATCTCTTCATTTTCTGGATTCGCTTCATTTGTACTTAGGGTTTTTAAGATTTTTAAATTATAATAATCATTTTAATTACTTATTTTTTTTTAATGATTTTCCTTAATGTTAACATGGAGTTGTTTATTTTCAAAATTTAAGGTCAAAGGAGCATCTCTTCATTTTCTGGATTTGCTTCAGCAGTTCCAGCATCATTCTCGTCCTCATCATCGTTTTCATCTAGGCAGCCTCTTGTGCCGATACCCAGTCAGAATGAAGAGAGTGGAGGAAACCAAGTAGTTTGTAACTGTGGCAACAATGCCATAATCCTGACTGTCCGAAAAGCAGGCCCAAATACTGGTATGTGTGATACATGTTCGGGGCTACTAGTAAGAGTGGTTATGAATTTTGAAATACACATTCATGGTGCAGTTGAATCAATGTATCTCATGTCATGCTACTGGTTTAGTAACTTTAGAATGTAGTGTAAAGAAGATTGAATGATATATAAAAAAAATAATAATATATCAAGTCTTTACAATGTTTATATCAAATTATATCGACCATGATCACTTAATGATTCAGTGCTTTTTTTGCAACAGTGGTTTAGCCTGGTTTATTTTCTTAAGACAACTTAAATTTGTACTAATATTTCTTTCCTCATTTTTGTTGTTTTTATACATTGTAATTTCTGCCTGACATAATATTAAAATACAATACAATAATAGCTTCTTTATCGTATGTGAGGATACTTGTTTGTCCACCAACAATAATAGACACCTGAGCACCATGCATTATAAAAATATAATTAATAATACTTTCAATTTCAAATTCTCAAAAAAATACATTAACTTTAAAAGTTTGAAGTTTGCAAGAGAGCAGCTAACTCGGTCGGCGAAACTGGTGGTAGCCACTGTGTTTGCGCCGAACCGTCGAGAATATTTGGTTCACGGTTCAATTCCCATCGCTACACTCCTTATGTTTCAGATGGATGACTGAAATGCGAGTTACAAAAAGTGCATTGTCTTTCAGATAAGAAACTTAAGCCGTTGGTCCTGTGTACAAAATGACCTGTGTGTGCGTGTATGCAGTACACTCTTCAGAAAAGAGTGGGGGATTGTCTTCCGGCGATCCCAACCCACCTTACCCTGAATGAAATAATTCTAGAACTTTCATGGGTTATTGGTGTGTATCACACAGACGAAAACCAATGCATTACCCCAATGTTTGTAATGTTCAAGAGAACTTTGGTTGGGGCTCTGGCTTGGTTGTCAAGTTCCTTGCCTTTCATTCCCAGTATCGAAGGTTCAAATCCTGCTATACACAAACATTTTTTTTTTTTTTTTTTTTTTATTCTATAAGAGTGTATGTAGAATGCCTGTCTCTTATACACATCTAGATGTGTATAAGTGCAATTTTTTCCCTCACACAGGTAGAGAGTTTTATAAGTGTCAGTCTGGGACTTGCGACTTCTTCTTGTGGGCTGAGACCAATGGACAACCTTCGACCTCTGCAGGAAGTAGTTCTCATTTAAGTACACAAAGCTTTGATTCAGGTTTTGGTAACTCATTCAACAGCAGTAGTTTTAATCAAACACATGGTAATGAAAATTCAAGTATGAATGTATGGGGAGAGGTCGTCTGTAGGTGTAATACCACAGCTATCACGTGAGTTCCTTTGTTATTGCCTATTGAAAATCTTTTAAATTTTTTTAACAATTTTTTTGGTTTGTTTTCATATATTTGGTTTTATATCAGTTGATTGTCCACTCTTTTAAAGATACTACAGTGTACTAATATTTTTTAATAATAGTTTCTTTAATACTTATGTCTATTTCGTGATTACTTGCTGGATTAACCAAATAATTAACAGTACTGTAATTTATATTGTTAAATTAGTCCGTTTATCCTGGAAATATCTTCCACATACACTACCAACATCACTGTTGATTTGTGTAATATTTATTTTTCATTTTATGCTGTATTTGTCATATCTGTGTTTTTTGAATGTCATATATGTGGCAAAGACAAGCCAAACCAGTCACTCATCGCAAATCGTGTTTCAGAGAAAATGGCCAAAACATGCTGGAATGTCAAATTTTTAAAAATCTATTTTATTGCTTTAAACTAACCTTTATATATCTACACATCATTCTATGCTGTTATTTTTCCCATTTTCAATGTTAAAACAATACTTTTTAAGGATTTAAAGGTAGTTTCTGCATGAGAAATGCAATCATAAACTTTGACGGTTAATTTCTCATATATTGTTCTTTAAACAGCTGTGTAGTTAAACGCTTGTAACTTCATAACGAAATGTCCGATTTGAATGATTTTTTTACCATTTTATAGCTATTATTTTACTCTCCACTGTATTAATAACTCAAAATCGATTTTTGCGACGAGTGACTGGTTTGGCTTGTCTTTGCCACATATGAGGCTAGCCATTCCAAAACCAGCTTACTGTCGCTAAATTTCAAACTGAGTGATTAGCATAAGAATGTGGCACAGTATTGTAGACTTCAGTACCGAGAAGCCATAATACTTTTACTCATAATTGTGGCAATATTAAGTTGATCCCTGTAAATGACATATCATTTAAAAGCTTATAATGTGGAGAATAAGATTTAAAAAAAGTCAGTTTTCATTTTTTGGACACTGATGCTGGTTTATGGGATAATCATCAATCAATACCCATCAATACCAATCAATATCAGTTAATGAATATTCATAAATCTTTACAGGAGAACAGTGCAAAAAGAAGGTGCTAACCAGGGCCGACAATTCTATACCTGTTCAAAACCTAGGGACAGCCAATGTGGTTTCTTCCAGTGGACGGACGAAAGTACTAACAGTGGTAGTAGAGGAGGGTCCTACCATAGGGGTGCAGCAACAAGGGGACGAGGTCGGGGGTCAAACAGAGGTGGTAGGAGTAGTTCAAGCGGTAAGGATTCACTCTTTTGTAATTGCTGGGAAGCAGCCAATTCATATTCTTGACAGCAATTTGACCTCTGAAAGGTCATTGTTTGTCAAAAAACAAGGGCTTAAGGCGACTGAAAAGCGGAGTTTCCTTCTTTCATTCTGCCGGGTAAAATCAATTACTTTAGGCTATGTTTGTAGACTAACCTACACGTACCAACGTCCGCATGTCGCGCTAGCCTTATCCTACTCTAGGCCTAGACTAGCTAGGATGGTATAGGCCTAGCTTGAAGGGACGAACATCCCAATGAAAAACAACATCGCTCCTTGATAGCTAACATTGTCTATTTAACATCACAATAATTCACTATTAGACCTATAGTTGTTTTTTGAATTGTACTCCACAAATCTCAGCCGATACCTCGCACAACTCGTTAACATCTCGTATCTATTGTCGTGATGTCTGGCTCGCTGGCTCACACTTGAGATGTCTCGCACTTGTGATCAAATAACACACTGGCTCGCACTTTGGCAACACTCTTTGGCAGTCAACTCGCCCCTAGAAAACCCGCCCTTGGAAATTGCCCCATAAAGAAATGTACACTTCCTAGACCATGCAGTCTTCAAAATAAAAATTGTAACCTTTGGTAATCAACTACATTTTCCACTTACATAGAAATTTTGGAACCTTTATTAAAAAAAACCTAAACTATAATTCACCACTATAGACACTTTTTGACAAAAATGAAAAATTACGACTTTGTTACCCAATGAGAAGTGTTCTAATATAGACAATGGGTCGTGTCTCATATTATTTGTTATATTTTTATTATTCATTATTTTCACTTGACTCGCATAAATAATTTTGTTCGAAGAACATTTATATGCAGTTGTACTTCGCAGCACTTCACTTGCAATTTGCAATTTCTAGTATATTAATTATTAGCTGCTATGGTTGAGGTATAAGTAGATTAATTTCTGCATTCCACTCATTGAAATTACATTAGAATAAATTATACTATAGTTTTAAAATTGTTATAATAAACATATTTATACACATGTTCCATTGTGCAACATCAAAATATGAATAAAAACAAACTAAATAGGAAGATATAACTTTTGAAGTTAATTAATACTTGCTATCTGCTTTCCCAAAGACTTTTCCAGTTTAATGTAACAATTTTATGACCATGTGACATTACATAGGCATTTTTTGCTGTTGTTTTTAAGTTTGATTTGCAGTTGTTATTATTTCAGGATATGGTAGCAGTAGTAGTGGTGATGATAGTCGTAAACGGAGAAAGGCAACATGTAGCATGTGCGGTGTTGAAGGTAAGTAAATTGGTTACATACAAAAGACCTAATGCTGAGCTGTAGCTTGGTGGCTTAAGCTGGACACTCGCTGAGTCTTAATGT